GCGGGTCGACAGGGCAGAAAACTGTCGCGCGCCTCGGGGCGCACGGCGGGCAGAAAACCGCCGCGATTTCGGAGCACGCGGCGAGCAGAAAAACTGCCATGCGCCCCGAGCGCGTGGCGGGAAGAAAAAACGTCGCGCGCCACGGGGCGCGCGACACACAAGACAGCAGCGGAAGCATCGGGCGGGACCACCCACAGGATCGACCCAGGAGGGTCGACCTGCTCTGATAGCATGTCGAAACAGCAGGCAGAAAAGAGAAACAACAAAGAGGGGTTTTCACTAGCAGGCAGTTGAGTACATATAGCAAACCCTAATTTGGGCTGTACTCACTATAGAGTACCCCACTACAGGCTAGACAAACATCACATTCTGACAGGGTAGTAGCGAGATATTTGGCCAAAGAGAGGGTTTGCACAATAGCATATATGTACAAGTTATAGGGAAGAAAGCATGACAACAAGGTGCACCATCAAACATGATGCAATAACCACACTACAACTGCACACGATTATATGAAATAGGTAAACGTATTTTGACAAAGGGTACATTCCTGGTTCCACACAAGTGTCTTAATGCCAAATTCCCGAATCACATCTAAATGTTTTTTCGACTTTGCTTTTCAACGAGTGAATGTACTGCAACATTGCGATTAGGACCCTGGGCGCGTCTGATTTGGTTACTCAAACAAGAGTGCACCAGATTCTTCAACCAATGGGCAGGGAGACAACAACTGATGTGAACATTTTCGCGTAGATAGAGATCTGAGCGTGAGGTAGGAGGGGGTGTGGTTTCAGCGGGAAGTTTTTGCGAGTAGCTGAGACGACGCACAGGGTCTTTTTCATGTCGTTTTTTGGCTGCCCGAGGCCTCGATGTTCTTTTCCCGCGTGAATTTGGCATCGTGTGGGTTGTCTAGGTGCATATGATAGGGTCGGGCATTTCAAGTCGCGTGCAAATTGTTGACAATGACGGGTCATCTTACAACTTGTCTGCGACGTCAGCGTGTTCCAATGCTTATCATATTACGGCGGCACGAGATTGTGACATAAACATACAGTTTATGTTGTTTTGGGGCATCACAAAGTACAATATTTGGAACACTTGAGTTGATCCAGGAACGTACCCTGACCTATGATTATTGGAATATATAAGGTTCTTAGATGTAGCACCTTCAATATTTCCTTCTTACGAGGTGTTTGGTGTAAAGCTGTCACATACGTACTAGTTTGATGTTTATGTATATTCTCTTAATGTTGTACCGAATTTGTTGAAACGAGAATGTGTGAAGTGAACGGCCAACATGGGTAGGGTACAAATACCTAACCTTTACCTAGCATACCAAGAGCAACAACAACATCACAAATAAACCTTATAGCCGGGATCTCAAGTAAGAAGAATAGGCATCAATTGCAAAACAGTTGAAGCTCCCGTCACCCTGTTTGTCCAGACGATATCGAGTGGGTTGAGTGTGCGACAGATTTCTGTTTTGCCCGTAAATCAATTGCTTAACAAATTGGTGGTACATGAGATTTTTTGGGAGCTGAAACATTGCTGGTAGTTTAGCTTCGGAACCCAACCAAATTTCCGTGCCTGAGTGGTTCGGAAGCACCATGCGAGTTGTGCTGGCATCGCATATCCCTTGTTTCAGCCCTCGTCAACTTCTCTACATCGCTAACCAATCATAGCCTATCTCAATTTACCAACTGCAAAACAGTCAAACTACTCGAGATCCTTGCTATAAAACACACGTTAGTCTAGGGGCAGACGGTGCATGGCAAGGAAGAAGCAAATTAGGGCAGCACAAGTAGTCCAGCCTCTGAAACAAGTGGTCACAAGACGAGTCAACAAGAACATCAAGTGTACAGATTGCAAGGGTGGTATTACTAGCCTTGTCAACTAGGAATAGTACGGTACTACTAGCCCAGCATGTAATAAAAACGGCCACAAGGTGAGTTAATGTTTACAAACGAGTAAAAAGCAAAGCAAGTACAAACACCAGGAACATGTCAAGTAAGGACATTCTGGGATAAGGCCAAGTTGTGTACATAACGGATGATGATTACGAGTCTAAAGTGTCTTGGTGGATATAACAATGGTGTTGGCCTTTCAAGCCAATGATTCCAAGCGTCTCTGGTCACGTCGCTGAAATTCACGTAGTAGAAAGTACTACGGTTGGATAGCTTCACTCTCCCCTCCAGTCTAGGTGCCCGACACACGAGGATCATGGCCGTGTTGTCACCGAACAGGAGCGGGGTAGAGCTAGCCGGCTCACCTAAGCTAGTGAGTAAGAATGTTAGCCAGTAGAGCTCCTGTGCAGCCATGGCGCTGGCGTAGATCTCTGCCTCAGCACTGGACAAAGCAACTCACATGAGCGAGCAGACCTCCACAAGACAACTCCTGCAATAAGGCATGAGCGAGCGAGCAGACGAAGAACCAAGAGGCTCGTGTTGAAGGTCGTCCTACAATGGTGTATTTTATGTAGGAGGTGTTCGACTTGTACGGGTTGATCCTAGTGTTATCGAATGCTCGACCGTATTTGTTGTGCTTATGTAAGAGGTTGACAAGAGTTTCGCTTGTCCTACAACATACGAGCAACACATTGCATAGAATTCTCGTCACCTAGCCATAAGGAAGACTTGCCAACGCTGCAACACACACATGTAAATTATATGTTGACTACACATATGCGTCACCTGTTAAACTGTATTATGCTTGTAGGCTGTAGTGGGGTAGCCAATATGGGGTACAACCCCAACTAGGGTTTCATATTTGTACCCAAACTTCTGCTAGTTCATCATTCTTGCCTAGTTCTTCTGAAATTGTGACATGGTATTCAGAGCAGGAGGTCCCTAGGACCTACCGACCTTTTTTTTTTAAGGGCCCACCACCGCTCGCTGCGGTTACCACGCTACCCCGTGCCCTAGCCTCGTAGCGCCCTCGTGCGCCCTCGTTAGCGCCCTCGCGCGCCCCTCGTTAGCGCCCTCGCGCGCACCCTCGTTAGCGCCCTCGCGCGCCCCTTCGTTAGCGCCCTCGCGCGCCCCTTGCTAGCGCCCTCGCGCGCCCCTTCACTAGCGCCCTCGCGCGCCCCTCGCCGAGCCGCCCGCTCGCAGCCCGCTCGCCCGCTCGCTGCCCGCTTCGCGGCCCGCTCGCTACGCAGCCCGCCCGCCCGCTCGCTGCCCGCTTCGCGGCCCGCCCGCTTCGCAGCCCGCTCGCTCGCTGCCCGCTTCGCGGCCCGCCCGCTTCGCAGCCCGCTCGCTCGCTGCCCGCTTCGCGGCCCGCCCACTTCGCAGCCCGCCCGCCCGCTCGCTGCCCGCTTCGCGGCCCGCCCGCTTCGCAGCCCGCTCGCCCCGCTGCCCGCTTCGCGGCCCGCCCACTTCGCAGCCCGCCCGCCCGCTAGCTGCCCACTTCGCGGCCCGCCCGCATCGCAGCCCGCTCGCCCCGCTGCCCGCTTCGCAGCCCGCCCGCCCGCCCGCTGCCCGCTTCGCGGCCCGCCCGCCACGCAGCGTCGCCCGCCCGCCGTGCTGCCCGCTTGCAGCGCCGCCTGCCCGCCGCGCTGCCCGCTTCCCGGCCCGTCCGCCGTGCTGCCCGCTCGCAGCATCGCCCTCCCGTCGCGCTGACCGCTTGCAGCGCCGCCTGCCCGTAGCGCCAGCCTCGCCCGCTGCTCTCTATCCGTGCACAGTCGCCTTCCCCTGCTGCGGCAGCTTGCGTTACTCTGTCACACTGTCGCTATGGCTTCCATCCGCGTGCTGTCGTTCGATGCTGAGGGCCGCCCTGTGCGGTTCACCGCTTGGCTAGATGACCTGCAGCTGTTCCTCCTGAGCGATAGCAAGGAACATGTGTCGCTCTATGATTACGCGTCTGGTGCTGCGCCTGCCCCTCCTGCCACAGCTGAGCTTAGTGTTCGTTCCCACTGGCAGACTCGTGACGCAGCTGCTCGCCTAGCCATTCGCAGTCACCTGCCGTTAGCTGAGCTAGAGCATTTTGGCGACTGCAAATCCGCTAAGGCCCTGTACGACGCTGTCGTCGCTCGCTACTCCTCGCCTGCCACAGCCGAGCTTAGCCGCCTCATGCTGCCGTACCTGTTCCCCGATCTGTCCACCTTTACTACAGTCGCCGATCTTATCACCCACCTTCGCACTAGTGATGCTCGCCTGCGTGCCGCCCTTCCCACCGAGTTCTGCGCTAAGAACCCCCCTCCACTGTACTGGACACTCCACTTCATAGTCACCCGTCTCCCTGACACCCTCCGCTCAGTTCGAGACCACTTCCTTGCTCGCTGTCCCACTGAGCTCACAGTCGCCCTCCTAGAGGAGCACCTGCTCGCGGCCGAAAAGAGCATTGTAGCTGTTGGTGCTGCTCGTGGTGCTCCTCGCACCCCCATCTTTGAGGGGTGTTCTCCCTCTCCCCTCGCTCCCTCCTACGCTGCTGCTGCTGCTGTTGACTTCCTTGGTGCTGAGTCTGTTGGCGCTGCTTCTACTCCTGGTGGGAGGCGCCGCACCGGCAAGGGCAAGGGGGGCAAAAGTGGTGGTGGTGGCACTGGGGGGGGAGGAGGTGGGGGAGGTGGGGGGGGAGGCGGTGCTGGAGGGAGCGGTGGCGGGAGCGCTGGTGGGAGTGGGGTCGGTGGTGGAGACGGGGGCGGCGGAGGAAGCAGTGGCAGTAGTGGCGGCGGCGGCGGTGGCGGCGGTGGCGGTGGTGGCGGTGGTGGCGGTGCCGGTCGGAGCGGTGGTAGTGGTGGCGGCGGAGGTCGGAGTGGAGGCACTGGCTCGGGCCAGAGCTCCCAGCAGCAGCAGCGTCCCCAGACGACCCAGCAGCTTCGTGAGTGGCTTGCTCAGCGTGGGACGTCGGGGGCCAGTGCCCGCTGTTCTTATGTCATTCGCACAGGTGACCGCAAGGGACAGACGTGTGGGAGGTTCCACACCCCGTACCGCTGCTTCTCCCGCCTTGACGACGCTTGGCGTGAGGAGATGGGTGCGGATGTTGAGCGCCCCCGCTGGGCTGAGCTCATGAGGGCTGGTGTTGATGTCTTTGCTCTTGACTATGATGCTATTATTGCTGCCATGTATGCATTGACTGTTAGTGCCGAGGGAGACTGTTACTTGTGTGTGCCGCCTGACCCAGGTATAGAGCCCGCTGCCCTGGGTACTAGTGAGTCCGCTCTCTCTGGTATGGTCCCCCCTGTACTTGCCCCCCCCAGTGCTGTCCCGGCTGGTTTCGAGTCTGCTCTCTCAGGTACAGCACCCACAGAGACACCTCTCTCAGGTACCGCACCGGCTGAGGCCTGTCACACCTTCACCCTTGACTCAGGTGCTTCCCGTTGCTTCTTCCGTGACAGTACTGAGCTCACACCGCTTCCTGCACCGGTCCCAGTCTCCTTGGCTGACCCCTCTGGGGGCCCAGTCCTTGCCCAGTCCACCACTGTCCTCCCTTGTCCGGCGGTTCCGTCTGGCTCGTTGTCGGGTTTCCACCTCCCCTCGTTCTCGACGAACCTGGTGAGCAACGCTGTCCTCCAGGATCAGTGGGTTGACACCTTTACCCCTGGCGGACAGCGTGTGGCGATCTGCACGTGCTCCAGGACCGGCCGTCACCTGGCTACGTTCACCCGTCGGCCGGGGTCGAGTCTCTACACACTGACCACTGCGTCTCCCCAGGTAGCTGCTGTCGGTCAGGTGTCTGCGTCAGGTCTGGTGGCCCACGCCTGTGAGTGTCGTTCCCTGTCGCACCAGACTCTTCTCTGGCACCACCGCCTGGGTCACCCCTCCCTGCCACGCCTTCGTGGCATGCACCGTCGCCTCCTTGTGTCCGGTCTTCCCAGGTCCCTCCCTCCCCTCCCTGCCTCGCCTGCGCCGCCTTGCCTTCCTTGCGTCGAGGGGCGGCAGCGCGCCGCCCCTCACTCCTCCTCGTTCCCCCCGACAGAGGCTCCTCTGGAGACCCTCCACCTGGACGTGTGGGGCCCAGCCCGCGTTCGTGGTCAGGGCGGTGAGCGGTACTTTTTGCTGGTTGTCGACGACTACTCGCGTTACACCACGGTCTTCCCCTTGCGCACCAAGGGTGAGGTCCCTGCTGTTCTGATCCCTTGGATCCGCACGGTTCGTCTCCAGCTCCGCCGCCGTTTCCGGACGGATCTTCCTGTCCTGCGTCTGCACTCTGACAGAGGTGGTGAGTTCTCCTCCGACCTCTTGAGGACCTTCTGTCAGGCGGAGGGCATCGAGCAGACCTTCACGCTTCCGGACTCCCCACAGCAGAATGGGGTTGCTGAGCGCCGCATTGGCCTGGTCATGGAGGTCGCTCGTACCTCCTTGGTCCACGCGGCGGCTCCCCATTTTCTGTGGCCGTTTGCTGTCCGGTACGCCGCGCATCAGCTCAACCTCTGGCCCCGTGTCTCCTTGCCGGAGACCTCGCCCACACTGCGTTGGACGGGGGAGGTTGGCGATGCGTCGCGCTTCCGGGTGTGGGGTGCTCGTGCCCTTGTCCGCGATACGTCCGCGGACAAGCTCTCCTCCCGCACGCTTCCCTGTGTCTTCCTTGGCTTTGTCCCTGACGCGCCTGGCTGGCAGTTTTACCACCCCACCTCGCGCCGGGTCTTCGCCTCTCAGGATGTCACCTTTGACGAGTCCGTTCCCTTCTACCGTCTCTTCCCCTACCGCACTGCCCCCCTCCCTCCCCCGCCGCTTTTCCTTGCTCCTGGTCCCCCTCCGGTAGACCCCCTTCCCCCTCAGGGTCCTGCTCCTTCAGGTGTCTCTCAGGTAGACCCTCCTCCCGTCGCTGAGCCTGTCGAGGTCACAGGTGACTCAGGTGCTGCTGCGGGTGGTGCTGCTGGGAGTGCTGAGCCTGGAGGTGCTGAGCCTGGGGGTGCTGGGCCTGGGGGTGCTGGGGCGGCAGGTGCTGGAGCTGAGGGTACGGTGCCTGAGAGTACGGAGCCTGGGGGTGCTGAGCCTGCGGGTGCGGGGCCTGGGAGTGCTGGGACTACGGGTGCTGGAGCTGAGGGTACTGTGCCTGAGAGTTTGCCGCCTGGGGGTGCTGCGACTGGGGGTGCTGAGCCTGCGGGTACTGAGCCTGCGGGTACTGAGCCTGGGGGTGCTGCTACTGAGCCTACGGAGCCTCGGGTTACTGCGTCTGGGGGTGCTCCGGTTCGGGGTGCTGAGCAGTCTCTCACACCGCAGCAGCTTCGCGACTGGTACGTCCGACGCTTTCGCCGTCCTAGTGGCTCGGCTGGAGTTTGGGGTGCTGGAGCTGCTCGTCCTGGGGGTGCTCGTACTGGGGGTACTGGAGCTGTCGGGACTGGCTGTTCTGGGAGCACTGTGACTGGAGCTGGGGACTCTGGCGCTGGCGGTGCTAGCGGAGTTGGAGCTGCCGACTCTGGGGGTGGCGCTGCTGCTGGTGCTGCGGACCCACCTGGTGGAGCTGCTGCTGGTGCTGAGGAGTCGGACGGTGGAGCTGCTGCTGGAGCTGTGGACCCGGACGCTGGAGCTCCTACTGGTGCTGAGGACCCGGCCGCTGGAGTCCCGTCTGCTTCTGGAGACGCTGCGCGGCCGCGACCGTACTTCGTACCGCTCCTTCAGCAGGTTCTTGGGCAGGCTCCTCCTCCTTGTCCTCCTCCCTCCGTAGAGTGTCCTCCGCCTGTCCAGCCGCAGTCACAGTTACCGCCTGCCTCGCCTCTCCCTGCTCCCTCTCCTTATACTGGTCCCACAGGAGGTCTTACAGAGCGTCGTGAGCCTGAGTCTCGTCCTGCGTCGCCTGTTCGTCCTGCTCGCACTGGTAGTCGTGTCCGTCGTGAGCGTCCTCCTCCTGTCCCAGGCACTCACTACATGACTCTGCGTCCCTCTACTGCTCCTCGGCGTGTCCCTCTACCGTCTCCTCCTGAGTCCTCTTTGCCTGCCGTTCCGGACCCTGAGTCTGACCGGTATCGCGCTGAGCACCCTACAGTCACGCGTCTTCTCGCCACTGTTGTCACTGACCCGTCGTTTGAGTCTGCTGCTGCGTCTGCCCTGGTCGCTGAGCTTGTCGACTTTGCTGCTGCCTGTCGTCTAGACTACGCCGCCAGTCTTGTTACTGAGTCTGGGTCTGTCTGTCCTCCGTCCGTCGGGGGTGAGTGTGCTCTTGGCACGGACGTCCTTGAGGACAGGCAGGAGGACTTTGACTCTCTTGCGGCTGCTGTACCTCATCTCGTGGCCTGGTTGCTTGCCCCTGAGGGAGACCCGGATGCAGTAGACATCCCCACTCCGCGCACTTACGCAGAGGCGATCTCGGGTCCCTACTCCTCTCAGTGGCAGACAGCCATGGACGCAGAGATGGCATCCTGGAAGTCCACAGGCACCTACGTCGACGAGGTTCCCCCTCCTGGGGCGAACATCGTCGATGGCATGTGGATTTTCAGGGTGAAGCGGCCGCCAGGTTCTCCGCCTGTCTTCAAGGCTCGTTACGTTGCTAGAGGCTTCAGTCAGCGTCAGGGGGTCGACTTCTTCCAGACCTTCTCCCCCACCCCGAAGATGACCACTCTTCGGGTTCTGCTGCACGTTGCTGCTCAGCGTGACTACGAGCTTCACTCTCTTGACTTCAGCACAGCGTTCCTGCAGGGCAGCCTGCACGAGGAGATCTGGCTGCGCCGCCCACCTGGCTTTACTGGGTCGTTTCCCCCTGGTACCCAGTGGAGTCTCCGCCGGCCAGTCTACGGTCTCCGCCAGGCGCCACGTGAGTGGCACGACACACTGAGGACTACTCTTGCGGCTCTTGGGTTCGCGCCGTCTACTGCTGACCCGTCGCTGTTTCTGCGCACAGACACGTCGCTGCCGCCGTTCTACATCCTCGTGTACGTCGACGACTTGGTCTTTGCTACTGCTGACACTGAGGCACTCGCTCGTGTGAAGTCGGAGCTGCAGAAGAGACACACCTGCACTGACCTGGGTGAACTGCGTAGCTACCTTGGCTTGCAGATCACCCGGGACAGAGCTCGCCGCACCATCACCCTGACTCAGTCACACATGGTGCAGCAGGTCCTTCAGCGCTTCGGCTTCCAGTTCTCCTCACCACAGGCCACACCTCTGGCTACCAGCCACTCGCTCTCAGCTCCACCTTCGGACGAGTCCGTAGAGCCGAGTGGCCCGTACCCAGAGCTTGTAGGCTGCCTCATGTACCTGATGACTTGCACGCGACCTGACCTCGCGTACCCTCTTAGCATCCTTGCTCGTTACGTTGCGCCTGGGAGACACAGGCGAGAGCACTGGGAGGCTGCTAAGAGGGTGCTGCGTTACCTGTGCAGTACATCAGGCATGGGGCTGGTGCTTGGAGGACGCGACAGAGTTGTCCTCACTGGTCACTCGGACGCCTCTTGGGTGGACGACCTGGCTACGCAGCGGTCGTCACAGGGTTACACCTTCAGCCTTGGCTCAGGTTCTGTCTCGTGGCGGTCCACCCGCTCTTCCTCTGTTCTCGGCTCTAGTTGTGAGGCTGAGATCTACGCCACAGCCATGGCTGCACAGGAGTTACGCTGGCTCACCTACCTGCTGACTGACTTGGGAGAGCGGCCTAGTTCTCCTCCAGTTCTGTATGGTGACAACAAGGCGGCTCTTGCCTTGTGTCAGGAGCACAGACTGGAGCACAGGACGAAGCACATTGCTCTTCGCTACTTTCTTGCTCGAGAGCTTCAGCAGCGCGGTCAGCTTCGGCTTGTGTACGTGGACTCGAAGGCCAACACTGCTGATATCTTCACCAAGGCGCTCCCGCCTAGTGATCATCAGCGGCACTGTACTTCTTTAGGCCTTGTGTCCACGTTTCCTCACTTGCTCACTGCTTGACATTCTTTGTACTGTACTTTATATATATCTTGTTGCTTGCTTGCTAGGTTTTGATCACTGTGTTGCTTGTCTTGTACTAAATCTTGCACTGCATGTGAACTGGGCTTGTGGCCTTTACTTGTGCTCGGAGTGTGGTGACGTTGTGATCCACCCTGGGCTTTGCTTTGCTTTGCTGGACTGGTCTTGTGACCCTTTGTTCTCCCCCACTTTGCCTATGGGGGTGTGTTAAACTGTATTATGCTTGTAGGCTGTAGTGGGGTAGCCAATATGGGGTACAACCCCAACTAGGGTTTCATATTTGTACCCAAACTTCTGCTAGTTCATCATTCTTGCCTAGTGATTCTGACATCACCTACCAAAGTAGGTGCAGGTGTCCGTAAGGTTGAATTAAACTGAATGGACTAGAACGACAGCATACTGTTGTTCGTAAAGGAAACCCAAATCTGTCCAACGTAGCCCAACAAAGTGTATACATACAGGCATACAGAATATATAGAATGTGCACTTAAACACTTCCCTAGGCTAGGTAAGGGGCAACACTAAGGGTGGCTTAATTAATTAAACCGCGTAGACCATCGGGGCGACGGGGCAGAGTTAGCGGGTGACTGGGTGGGATCAGCAGGGCCGTAGGCTAGGGGCGACGGGCGGGGCCAGCGGGGCTGCGAGCTAGGGGCGATGGGAGGGGCCAACGGGGCTGCGAGCTAGGGGCGACAAGCGGTCTAAGGGGCGACGGGCAAGCTTGGGGTGATGGGCGCGCTAGGAGAAACGACGGGCTAGGGTAGGCGCAACGGAAGCGACGGTCCTAACCTATCGATCACACCATGTGAAAGAGTGAATTGAACAGAATGGACTAGAATTACAGCATACATGTGTACACTTAGGAAACCCTCACATGTCCAACGCAGCCTAGCATAGTTTCCACGCACAAACATATAAAACATCTATGTGCCCTTTGACGGTCTGCACGACAGAAGGTTATGTGCACGTTGTGCGCATGATGCACATTGCTCAATTGCAAGATATTTGCCAAAATCATATGGAGCAAATTTTGTGCGCGCGCAAAAACTGGCCGACTGGGAGTTTGGTTGATAAAAAATCTGGCGCTCGAATGTTGCCCCATTTGTGTTCGATTTTGTCTATCATGAACATTTATTGGGAATCTCGCCATTTGTCGACCTATAGACTCACCACTGTAGACATCACAAGATTGTCGACGCCAATCTCGTCGGCGGGCACTTCGAGGCCTTGGACAAAGTCGCGCCAATAGTCAATCGATCATGAAACCAAGCCGGCTGACTTTTGCCCAAGCGAGGGCAAAACCTTTCTTGTTAACACCACCCTGCTCAGCTCAAGCTCGGGCATACACACAAGGTCTAAACAAACAAACAAGCATAATATAATATAGCAAGGGGATAATCGAGCATGTGCAAGACACAGTATGCCACTCATCGCACTATCCAACTATTTCTGTATGACATCCATGTCGACGTCTGCAATGTTGACGTGCTCGACGGCGATGAAGCACTAGTTGAATGGCTGGTTGTGCACTCGTGGGATATACTGCAACGTATGATTCTTGCGCCTCACCATTTGTTGTAGCCAGATATGGCCCCAAGCCATGTGGTTGAGGTTGCCTTTGAGCCTAAGCCTATAATAAGCGCGATGAGCGAAAAGTTGTCCAGCTGATGATGGTCGGCGTCTCAGTATCAAGCAGTTAGAGTTTGATGAGGAGGAAGCGCAACCTGCTCGCATTATTGTAGGCTTCTATTGTATACATGTACTCTTTCTCGGCCAAGGACCGCATCACACACTTGACCCTTTGGTTTTCCCACGAGACAGTTGCGCCGCCGAAGACGAAGATGTAACTGTTCGTATGGCTAAGCGATTGCTTGTCGCCGACAACCCCGGCGTTCGCGTAGCCAGCTAGGAGCAAGGACTCTAGCCCGCTGTCGGACTGAAGGACCATATCACACATGTCTGCCATGTAGGCAAGGCAGCGATCCACCTCAAGTAGGATCCCCAATTTTCCATACGTGAATGTAATTTCAGGCCGAGTTGTGCTGGCACAAACTTTCTAGCGGTACTCATCTTCATTGCACATTTGGAAGTCTTTGTTGTCGAACATCAGGCCGCTATACATTGACGGATATTAATGTGGTCATATGCTTACCAGACTGCAAAGCTTGTCGACCATCTAAGAAATCACTAGGACCTGAACGATTCGTTGTCATAGCTCTGTAAGAAAACACTAGGACCTGAACGATCTGTTGCCATGGCTCTCTAAGAAAACACTAGGACCTGAACAATTAGCAGAATCATTTGGTTCTATAGCACTAACCTCCTCATCCTCAGACCTTACAAAAACATTGCATAGCGACAATTCACTTCATATCCTCGTTAACATCCATCTTGTTCTTGCTCACGAAGTTGGACAAATAGATGTCATCCTCAGACACGTTGTTGCAGTTCCCGTAGATTCACTTGTCAGAATGTTGTATTTGTCTAGCCTGCAGTGGGGTACTCTATAGCGAGTACAGCCCAATCTAGGGTTCCTATATGTACTCAACTGCTTGCTAGTGCAACTCCTCTTTCTGCCTCTAAACTTTCTACTACCTTTCTTGAAATGCTATCAGAGCAGGTCGACCCTCCTGGGTCGATCCTGTGGGTGGGCCCACCACCTAATGCTTCCGCTGCTGTACTTCCTGCCGGGCGCCTCGGGCGCGCGACGACTTCTTCCTGCCGCGCGCGGAGCGCGCGGCGAATTTTTTCTAGGGTTTCGGCGGTTTTCATCCCGCCGTGCGCTCGGGGCGCGCGGCGGTTTTCTGCACGCCGTGCGCCCCGAGGCGCGCGGCGGTTTCCCACCGTCGAAGCGCCCTCCCCCCGTCGCCGTCGACCCCCCGCGTCGCCCCGCAGCCCCGCG